AAGAGAAGAGAAGAGAAGAGAAGAGAAGAGAAGAGAAGAGAAGAGAATTGAATTCTTTATTGGCCAAGTGTGGTTGGACACACAAGGAATTTGTCTTGGTGCAAATGCTCTCAGTATGTATGAATAATTGACACCAACATTTCTGTTGATAAGCAAGAGAGTTGCTTAAGTCACACGTGGTTACGGTATGGAGGGATTTGTCCCTGAAGGGGAGAGGATGGCTCAACATCACCCTGCAGTCCTGAAGGTTAAGGCTGGACTAGAAACCCACTTCCCCGGCCAACCCCCAAACCGCTACCCCCCTGGCACCATTACCGCAACCGGCAAATCAGATGCCATGTTGAGGATCAGAAAATTGGAGAAAGGGGATCCTTTTGGGAGCTGCTTTTCCTGATCTCTCTTCCCTTGGCCCTGCAGTCTCGGGAGCTGGAGATCTCAGTCTATTGGCACGACTGGCGCCAACTCTGCGGGGTGGCATTTCTGCGCCTGGATGGCTTCCTGGACAACGCCAGCCACCCCATGGTGGTTTCCCTCGAACCCCGAGGGACACTCTTCCTAGAGGTAAAGGGAGCGTTGGGGGCTCCCCTCTTACGGCTTTACAACCCTTCGGTCCAGAGTTACAACTGACTTAGAACCAGTCCTCACACTTATGCCCAACGCAGCATCTCCAAGATCACGTTATCAAAAATTCGGGCGCTTGGCAACTGCCATAAAAATGTACAATGGTTGTAGCAGCCTGGTGGGGGGTCCTGTGATTCCCCCTTTGTGACCTTCCCAGCTGGCTTCTGACAAAATCAGAGAGGGAAACCCGATTCACTTAACAGCCATGGGATTCACATAACAACCACGCTGATGTGCTCAATCATGGTGGCAAAACAATTGTAAAATGAAGCCTGATTCATTTCACAACTGCCTTGCTTTGCAACGTAGAGTAGAGTAGAGTAGAGTAGAGTAGAGTAGAGTAGAACAGAACAGAACAGAACAGAACAGAACAGAACAGAACAGATCTACTGTTGATACTGTGTTGTCTAGTATTGTAAGAGGTGGTCGTATGGGAGGGTTTTCCCTAAAGTCTACCACCATTTCTACGGCTTTCAGTCTGTTCAGTTCCAGATTGTTCCGGTCACACCATGAAGCAAGTCATAAAACCTCCTGTCCGTATGCGGAAGTTGAAGTCCACAAAGTTGCCAAAGTTGGACCTCCCTAATTCACAGCCACTGCTCTTCCTTCCTCCATAGGTGACCTTCAGCCAGCCAGTTGTTGAGACCCACACCAAGCTGCAACGCCAGAAGTGCATTTTCCCCAAACAAAAAGGTAAGAGATGCTTCTCAAAGGGTTTAGGGGTGAAGAGCAGAGATGCCGATATTTTTACCCACGTTAAGAACTTCCATTGCATCATCTGATGACCATCCTGGACAGCCGAACAGCTCTTAGATCCTAGAACCTAGGCTCATGGGGCTGGAAGGGATCTTGGAGGTCTTCTAGTCCAACCCTTCTCAGGGCAGGAGACCTTCCACTCCTTCATGGTCTATCAGAACTCAGGTTGAGTTTTGAGGAGAAATGCTGGACATCCAGAATCGAAGGGTGGCCAGGAGGGTGGCCGGCCACCAAGAAAGCCCACCCAGACCACCTGTTGAGCATCGCTGGCTTTGGTGTCCTTCCCCGCAGGGAAAGAGTTCCTCCGCGCTTCTCAGATGAACGTCAGCATTGCCACCTGGGGACGTTTGATGATGAACCTTCTGCCCCCTTGCAGTTCCTTGAGTGCTTCGAGCCCCCCTTTCCGAGGGTCTCTGCATCCAGATGTTGGTTCTGCAGCTGTTGCCGAGGTCAGCCCGGGGCCCTTGGGGTCCAGGTGAGCCAAAGCTGGAATCCAGTTCGTTCACAGCTACTCCTTGACTTACAACCTAAAATTTCCATGGCTAAGCAAGGCGGTTGTTCATCGCAATCTCACCCAACGTTACGACTATTTTGGCCAGGGTTGTTCAGCAAATCACGGCGGTTATTAAGTGAACCATGCCACCGTTAAACAAACCCTGCTTCCCTCGTTGACTCTGCTTGTCAGAAGGCAGCTGGACGACCCCCATGATCACAACGCAACTGTCATAAGTACATGCCAGTTGCCAAGAGTTGCCCCAATTTTGATCCTGGGATTGTGGAGGGTTGCAAGTCTGAAGACAGGTGGTAAACTTTGAACGGTCGCTAAAACTAATGGTTGTAAGTTGAGGATTGCCTGTGTTAGGCGGACAAGGCCGAGTTAGGCACGTGGAGAGAAAAGGAGAGTTTAAAAATATTTTTTAAAAAACCAAAATCTCTCTTCCAAATTCAGCACTTCCCCTCCGGGAAATCAGCCGCCCCCTAAGCCCCCCCGCCTTTTCCTGCCTCTTTCCTGCAAGGAAACCGTTGCCTCTCCAACAGATCCGGCGGTAAGTCTAGCTCGGTTTGGTTCGTCCTTTGGTCCCAATGAGTTTTTGGTTCTGTTCGGGAAGCTGTAGATTTCGAGTACCTAAAGACGTAATTCTTTGTTTTTATTATTATTTTATTATTTTTATAAATAACTCAAGGTGGAGGAACATACCTAATAAACCTTCCTCCTCCTATTTTCCCCGCAACAACAACCTTGTGAGGTGGGTTGGGCTGCGCGAGATGGGGACTGGCCCAAAGTCACCCAGACGGCTTTAATGGCTAAGGTGGGACTAGAACTCCCCATCTTTTGGTGACTGGTCCAAAGTTTGTTGATCACCCAGTGGTCTCCTCTCCTTCCCTGTGTCCTGTTTTTAGGAACGGAAGACTCACCTCCTCCATGAAAAAACAGGCAAATTGCAACAGACCAGTATCAGGTACGAACCAAAACACGAGAGGCATTAACCAGGTTTTCGCCAGGTGCTTTAAACATCCTTTGCTGCAGCTGGTACCCTCCTGCTGGGTGGGAGGGTCCTCCTGCTGTCTGGGTAAAGATGATTGTAGTAGAAATAGAGGTCCTGTAGGGGGCACGAGCAGCACGCTGCCATATCTCAAAGCCTACATGGCTTCAAATACCTACACGATCTCACTCAGCAGAACACTGTCCCTGGCTGGTACATGATCTCACCTGGCTAACATCACCACTTCCTTACTTGTACATTCTTAAGGATTGGCAGTCAGAATTCACCAATAAAAATGCTGTCACTGCTTTCCCTTTTTCTGCTTGTAAAAAACTGTATAAAAGCAATAAACGCTGCTCAGGCAGTCAGACATCTTGGCACCCCTGCAAATGACCGGTCTTTGACTCCATCAGAGGATGGGTACAGGTAGTCCTCGGGTACAAATGAGCCCAACATTTCTATTGCTTGAGTGAGGCTGTTAAGTCAGTTTTGCCCCGTTCAATGATCTTTCTCACCACCGCTGTTAAGTAAACCACTGCAGTTCTCAAATTCATAACAGGATTGTGGACTGAATATGGCTTGTTCAGAAGGTCACAAAAGGGATCATTGGACCCCGGGACACTGCAACCGTCATCAGTACATGCCAGTTGCCACGTGTCCGAGTTTTGATCACGCGTCCATGGTGTTTCGGCAACAGACCTAAGTGTGAAAAAAAATGATCATATCGCTTTTTTTCCGGTACTGTTGTAACTTTGAACGGACATTAAGCAAGCAGTTGTAAGTCGAGAACTTCCTGTAGCATAATATAGCATGTCAGGCAGGAAAAACTTGATCTGAACCGGCTTTCTAGATGCTTTAAATATTTCTTTTTTTGTCTTCCCAGGAGAACTCCTCTGCGGCTTGAAGACTTCCGTTGTATGGCGGTGCTTGGTAGGGGCCATTTTGGAAAGGTAGAGTAAACCTAGAGTAGGGTCGCAAATAGGGAATCACATGACCCTGAGATACTGCAACCATCGTAAACATGCACCCAAATTTTGATCACGGGGCAGGCTGAAACGGTCATAACCTTTTGGACCTCAGGGTCCAACAAACTCATAATTTTAAATCCTGCGGACCAGAGACCCTGGGGAAAATCCCCAATTATGTCTGCAGGAAAATTCCCCGCACCGTTTTCCTGCCGATCGATCGTTCTTTATTTGGGATTGCAGGATATAGTCTCCAGCTCTGTTCTCAGGGGGAGAGAGAAAGAGAGACTTTTGGCTCCATGCAAGGAAAGCAGCAGAAGCCGCAGAAGTCTTTCTTTCTCTCCCCCAAACTCCACCAGAAATGAGTCTTTGCTGGCGCAGCCTCTTGGAGCAGGGTTAATGACTTGGTCATTTGAGCATTTGTGGGGCAGGTGTAAATGTGTTGGGGCAAACTGGCTTTTATTTTGGTCTGTTCCCAAGAGGATTTGGATCCTTATTTCTAGGTCTTGCTCGCCCGTCACAAAGCCACCCAGAACCTCTTTGCCATCAAAGCCCTGAAGAAGCAGGAGATAATTAGCCGGGATGACCTGGACAGGTGAACATTGCTTGGTTTGTAAGATTTGCATTTGGTTTTTCCTCTGGGGTGTGTGTGTGTGTGAATGTTTCTTGGCAGCTGGGCCAGGTGAGAAGAAAAGACGACAGGTGCAAAATCTGTGGGGTTGATGGTGGACTCGAATTTGGGTCTCTCTAGGGTTCATCATGGTAGCTTTGGGCCGGGTGAGAGTCTCAACAAAACAGCTGGCCAGCTTTTTTGCCTAGTTATAGGCATAATTCTTTTTCAGGATGGAACTGATATTGAAGGTCTGTGATCCCAGTTGTTGGTGTTTCCTTTTTCTTTCTTCTTTTAAAAAAAAGATGATTTGTTTTTCATTTGGTGAATTTATATGCTGCCCATCTCAGTTGTGAGACTCTGAGCAGCGTGCAAAGTTATTAACGCAGAATAATGCAAAAATAAAAATCAAAAACAGCCTGAAAACAAATAAATCATTTTTAAAAAATAAAATAAAAGCCATTTTAGGAAAGGTGCTAGTCTTTGTGAAAGTGAAGGGGAAATTATAAATAAAATATAACAAGATATCTTTATTGTCTTTTGTTGTTTCCTCAACATTTTCATCTCTGGCAGCTTGTATTGTGAGAAACGTATTTTTGAAGTCATCAACTCTTCTGGTCATCCTTTCCTGGTCAACATGTTTGCCTGTTTCCAGACTTCGAGTCACGTATGTTTTCTGATGGATTACGCTCCTGGCGGGGACCTTATGATGCACATTAGCTTCAACAATTTCTCTGAAGATACCACTCGGTGAGTGGATGAGAACAGAATAACAGAGTTGGGAAGGAACCTGGAGGTCATCTAGTCCAACTGCCTGTTCAAGCAGGGGAGCCTATACCAGCACTCTTGTTAACTTCAAACATTCGCTAGGTGCCTGGTCCTAAACTGAGGACTAATTGTGTACCCTTAATTATGCTGTGTGTTTGATCCTCTTCCTTTCCCTGTTCAATCCTGTCAAAGGTTCTACTCTTCCTGTGTTATCTTAGGACTTCAGTTCTTACATGAAAAGACCATCATTTACAGGTAAGAAATCTGAAAACGCAAGGATAGAATTGCTGGTTTTCGTGGCTAAGGTGGGACTAGAACTCACTATCTCCTGGTTTCTAGACCAGCCCCTCAATCATTACACCAAACTGTCTCTCTATTCCCTTAATAACAGGCTTCCCTTTCTCCCTTTCACCTCCATTTTTTTCCTGCTTGCTCCTTCTTCTCCAGAGATCTGAAAATGGATAACTTGCTTCTAGATTCTGAAGGATTTGTGAAGATCGGGGACTTTGGGCTTTGCAAAGAAGGTGAGAAAAGAGAAATTCGCCTGGCGGGGGGAGGGTGGAATAGCTGTGAGTATTTGCAATCCCGTATCGGGTTTGCTCACCTCTTTTATCCCACTTCCCAGGTGTAGGTTTCGGAGACCGGACTAGCACTTTCTGTGGCACCCCAGAATTCCTGGCTCCAGAAATTTTGACAGATCCATCCTACACCCGGGCAGTGGACTGGTGGGGGCTCGGCGTGCTTATTTTTGAGATGCTCGTGGGGGAGGTGAGCTGACAATGATTAGGTCTTCTTAAGCATCAAGAGGGACGGAGCTAACTTAATTGTAATTCGATTAATTATTTCAAACAAATCAAGCAGTTCTTCTTGGTTGAATTCCTCTTAGGCAAGAGCTGGTGACTTTGGCCCAGCCTACCTCGCGGGGTTGTTGTGTGGAGGGGAGGCTGTTTAGACCCCTCCCCTCCCTTGGGAAAAAAAAGGTAGGTGAGAAACCCCAGAATTGAAACAGTTCCACATTCTTTTCCTTCCAAGTCTCCGTTCCATGGTGACAACGAAGAGGAGATGTTTGACAGCATCATCAGCGAGGAAATCCGTTTCCCACACTTCCTCTCCGAGCTCAGCACTTCGCTGTTGCACAAGGTAGCCTTGTGGATTCGTGGCGGGGTCCCACAGCAAAGTTTTGGTCTGGATTGGAACCCAATCCTGTTTATTTTTCTTCTTCTTCTTCTCCTTTTATCATCAGCTTCTCCAAAAGTGTCCCGAGCGACGCCTTGGAGCAGGAGCGAATGACGCCGAGGAAGTTAAAATTCATCCTTTTTTCAAGGTATGAAGGCCCCCCCGCCGCGCCGCCCCCCCCAATTTCCAACCGCCCAAATTCTGATTCTATGACTGTGAGGATGCTGCATTCCTGATAAGTTCAAGAACTGGTCATAAGTCACTTTTTTTTTCAATACCATTGTAACTTCGAACAGTCGCTAATGGTTGTAAGACTGCCCGCCTTGTACTTTTGTGCAGCCAGATCCTATGGTGATTAAGACTCGTGAAGTTGAGTGTTTGGGCCGTTTTTGAATTCTGTTTCTCTCTCTCTTCCCCCCACCCCCCTCCCCAGGAGATGAATTGGGCTGCTCTGTTTGCACGGAAGCTCAAACCACCTTTGGTTCCCACCCTCAAAAGTGCCACTGACGTCAGCAACTTTGACAAGGAGTTTACGTCTCAAAAGCCCGTCCTCACACCTCCCGATGAGGCCATCCCTCTCTCGGTGGAGGAACAAGCCCGGTTCAAGGATTTTGACTTCCTTTCCAAACGCCTCCTGGATGTCTGAGTTTGGGCCTGATCCCTGCACTGCTGCTAAAGATTCTCCCCTCCCCTGCCCCTCAACTGCTGCTCAAGACAACCTTTAACAGATCATGGCTTGGGGAAACTGACATTTCCTAGCATTATTTTTGTACATTTTTTCCAGGCAAAAGTTTTAATCGTCTTGACTCTGGCCCCAGGGACCATCCAAGAACTCCCACTAAATGCTGAAAGGTTGGGGACGGGGCCAGTTTACAGAGAGAGATTGTATGCTGGATAGTTGTGAGTCTTGAAAAGAAATTGTGACTTTATTTACAGCCTTCTGGAAGGCTGATACAGCTGTGCATGCAGAAATCAGTCCTGCAGTTTGGGGTTTGCTCTCAAAATCCATCAAGTCCCCCAAGAGCTTTTCTGTAGCATCCGGTGGATTTAACAAACCAGCTCTCCATTCAAGGACCATTTCGGCTGGTCTCCTCCATCAAGATAAGACGGAGCATCCCAAAAGCAGGATGAGAATCACAGTTGTGTGTTTGGGAACCTTGCCTCTTCTCCAATCTCTCCAAGATGATTTATAGTGGGTCCAGAACCCTCCAAGACAAACAAACCTAATACCATTTTTAGACGTATCTGACTGAAACCCAACACTCCGGATCGTTTTTCCTCTGCATTTTATGACAAAATGTGTTGACTCCGACCAGATGAAGGCTCTCCAAAAACGTCCTTTCCTTTTGAGAGATGTAGGGTGTAGCTTGCACTAAAGAGGTCTTTCTCAAGCTTGGCCACTTTTAAGACTTGTGGACCACAACTCCCAGAATTCCCCCCAGGCTTCTTTGGGGATTCTGGGAGTTGAAGTCCACCAAGTGGCCAAGTTTGGAGACCTTTGATTAGGATGAAGAATTGGAGCCACGTGGCTCTCTTGGCCTTGCCTGCAACTCCCAGCCCTGGATAAGGGAAATCTGCTTCCCCCATCCCCGTTGGATCCCACCACTGGACACTCTGCACATCTGGATAAGCTGCCTACCCACATTGGATCTCCAGGAGGTGGAATGACCGGCGGGCAGCACACAGGCTCTGATCAGTGAGGAATTCGAACTCTATCCTCCGCAGACGACTGCAAGAGATGTCCAGCGTTGGCTGCAAACAAAGCCGGTCTCTGTTCTTCCCCGTGGCTTCGGAAACAAAGCGACGCCTCTTCCTTGTTCCAGGACTCGGCCCAGGGCGCACAATGCCCCTCTTTCAAGGGGTTCACTCCGCCAGGCCTCAGCTGCCTCAATTTCCCGTCTGCTTCGCCTCCAGAGATGTCACTTTGGGGGGGGGCAAGAGAGTGAATTTATGCGAATTGTATTGTTTCCTCTCGGCACCAGGCATGGGGTGCAAATTCCCTCCCGTTTGGAGGGAGGGGTGTAAGAGAGGAAACTCGATGCAAAATGTGCCTTGCCTTTCGGTCCTGCCCTGTGATGGAATTAATTTAAAATTAAAACTCGTTTCGATATGAAAGAAGAGCATGCTTTCTGAGATGGGGAAATCCTGCTAGCGCGGCTGAGCATTTGCAAGAGGCAGGAAAGTTTCATTTATTTTTATTTTTTTTTCCCCCAGCTGGCTATCTCCAGGCCTGCTGTGGATGATAGGAACCGTAGTACAAGATACCCGGGAGGCCCGTGTTGAGTTTGGTAACGGCAGAAACGATTTCCGTGGTATTCAACTTTCAGCCACGATTCAAACCAGGATTTCTGTTGCTAAGCAAAGCGGTGGCCACGCCCGCTTTGATGAGCCTCTTTGCCACGAATCACTGCAAGTCGTTAAGTGAATCTTGCAATTCTTAAGTGACTCCCGTTGACCTGGCTTGTTGGAAGCTGGTTGGGAAGGAGATCACGAGACCCTTGGGCACTGCAACCGTCATAAATATGGGTCAGCTGCCAAGTGTCCGAATTTTGTCCCAGGGCCATGGGGAAGCTGCTCAAGTATTATAATAGGCGCCAAAAAAAAAAAAGCGGAAGACATGTTTTTAAAATGGTATGATTGGTTATTACAACAGTAAAGAGGTTTTTTTTTTCTCTTTTTCTACTTTCAGGCAGCATTTTTTGTGTTTTGTTAGGGGGGAAAAGGAACAAAATTGAACATGGGAAAACGACTGGCTCTGGCCCTGCCCGTATTTAAGCCCCACCCACATTTAAGCCCCACCCACTCCATCTCTTGGCACCCGCCCACCCCAAGCCAACAGAACACACCCTTTGATGTAAGCTTTGGTCTTTTTATTAACATTAGTGTTGAGTTAAAACCATTTTTTTTTTTTTGCTAAAGCTCTTCAACTTCTCACGGCTGGATACGCCTTGTTGTCCCTTAGCAAAACCTGAAGCTCAGCTTCCAAGGAGCGCCTGCCTCTCCGGTCTCAATTCGATACGAACGTCTGGCCGAAATCTGCCTCGTTTGTGTTCTGGACCGCTTCATCTTGGGCTGCCTGCATTTCCTTCTTCCTCCTGCCCCGACCCTGTCGGCTTCCTTCAGTTCTCCTTCGTAGCCTCTGCCCAGATCTCCAAATCTCAAAGCTGAATCTCCAGTTGTTAGGGTTAGGGCCCTCACCCCCTCGTTGGCTCACCCCAACGTGACCCATCCAATTTTAGCCTTTGGTTAGAAGAGGTGAAAACAAGCCCTCCTCCCAGGTCAGGGTGATGATCGGTGCTTCGGCGTCACCTCCAAAGCTTCCCTTGTGACTTCCGGGCGGTGCGATCCGGTGGATTTCTCTTGAAATCCTCCTGCCCTCACACCAGCTCGCTTTCCTCCGGCGGGTAGAGTTTCTCCCAGGCCATCAGACGACAGGCACAGAAGAACCTCCAGAGGTTGAGGAGGACCCCCTGGTCGAAGGGGTTCTCCACCTTGCAGTGTTTCAAGTAGGAGATGCGGTGGCGGGACATGAACTCCCAGGTGGTTGTGTTGCAAGAGACGAGGTAGAGGTGGGAGCCCAGGAGGAGCATCGCGATCACGGTGCAGATGAGGAGGAGGAGGAAGGAGAGGAGGAGGAGCAGGTGGCATTGAAGCCAGAGCCAGGAAAAGGACTGGAAATTCAAGCCGGACCTTTTGAAGAGAAGAGAGAGAAGGAAAGAGGGAAGAGAGAGAGAACTTAGGAATGACTGTTGGAATATTGATAGTCCTCGACTTACATCAGTTTTCTTAGTGACCATCCAAAGTTAAGGTACTTTTAAAAGGGTGACTTAGGACTGTCTTTCACACGCCCATTGCAGCATCCCTGTGATCACGTGATCGACATCCGAAGGCTTGGCAACTGGCATGTTATCTATGCCTGTTGCACTGTCCTCAAGTCACGCAATCCCCTTTGGCCACCTTCTGACGAGCAAAATCCACGGGGGAAGCCAGGTTGGTCATGTGACTAACTTAACAACCGCATCACTGGCTGGGGAATTCTGGGAGCTGAAGTCCACGAGTCTTAAAAGTCGCTGTGATTGGGGGAAGAAAGAAAAACAAACCCTGCTCTTAACACAAAAGCTTTTCCTTCGCTATCATGGCGGTGACGGCACCGTGGACGGGAGACAACCTGGTTTTGGTGGACAACGGAAGCGATGCCACCGTTTTACCCCCCCGCCCTTCAGAGCCAGCATAAGAGCCCCCGGTCCCGTTACTCACCAAGCCACCTGCAGAGCCCAGAGCAGGACCGCGAGCTGCAGCCCCAAGTAGAGTACGAAAAGGGGGTGGTTCCTTTCCCCGATGCAGTTCTCGATCCAAGGGCAGTGATGATCGTAGCGGCGGACGCATTGCTGGCACGCCTGGCAATGCTTGGCTCGCAAAGGTTGCTGCAAGACGGCAAAAGGCATTGTTTCATCCTCACCGAAGGCCTTTCGACTTAGCCTGGAGGGCCATCAGTCGGAGACGGCAGGGGGTCAGACTAGATGGCCTTCGGGGTCCCTTGAAACCCTGACTTTCTATGGCCGTGTGCTGGCCAAGTCCTACTCTTTACTCTTGTTTTTTTTTCCCACCCATATTGTTCTATGATGCTATGCTCTCTCTCTGGCCTTTTCCCCGAGAAACCAAGGCCTACCTTCACCATGCAGTATCCACACCGTCTGAGACGAACGTTGGGAGCCTGGGGGAACGTTTTGGCCTTCTCTTCTCCGGCCATTGAGTCCTATCAAAATTATATTCAATAATCTTGAGCAAAAATTGAACCGCCTCAGTACTTACCTATTCTTTCCTAAGTATCTTTCTTGAAAAACAAAAACACCTTTAAGTAAAACAGGACTAAAATAAAAAAGCCTAAATAAAACAAGAATACAGTTGATGTACAAGTTCTTTTCCCCCTACAACCATAATGGAGCCAGCTGACTCTGGTTGTAACTTGTGACCGTCATAAAACAGGTCACGGCTAGGACAGGCCAGATTTTACAATCTTTTTGCAGCGGTCGTAAAGCAAATGCTGTAAAGTGAGCCAATTGTTCATGAAGTTTGTTTAAGTAAATTTCAGCCCCATTTTACAAGGCTTCTTAACCACAGTTAAGAGAACCTGGCTGCCCCATTGTCACAAGCTTGGAAAAGGGGATCACGTTACTAACCCTCAGGACACTGCAACCGTCGTAAATATGAGTCAGTTGCCAAGCGGCTGAATTTGGGTCTCGTGACCATGGGGAGAAATGCTTCACGCATGAAGTGTGAAAAACGGTCCCAAGTCTTTTTTTTTTTTCAGTGCCGTTGTCCCTAAACGAATGGTTGTAAGTTGAAGAGTACCTGTACAGACTTCATCCTCAATTAGTGACCACAACTGAGACTGGCAATTCGGTCGCCAAGCGAAACAGTCCCTAAGTGAGGCTGTGACGGAGCTCGTGGTCTGTCTTCCCTCACTTTATAGACCCGCGAAGGGTCGTATTGGTGCGGATTGTGTGTAGCAACCCCACGCTTTGCCTCCGTCGAGGGTTTCAATTTCATGCCCTTTAAAACTCCCAACAGCCCCCCGAAATATTCCCAGTTTTTCCTTGAGGGATCGGCCCACCTTCTCGTCCCCGCTGTCGTCCTCAACGTAGCCTGGATTCATGAGCGACACAACAAAATACAGGACAACGGAAGAGAGAACCAGCACAATGAACAAAAGAGGTTGGAGAAGTTCTCTCTGCTCCAGTTGCCTCCGGAGATCTGGAAGAGGAACACAAATTGGAAATTAGATTAGATTAGAATTCTTTATTGGCCAAGTGTGATTGGACACACAAGGAATTTGTCTTGATTCATAATCAAGTGGTGCCTTGGATCTTGGCGCAGGAAGCAAGCTGAGTGAAGCTGCCTTCTGTGATCGACTGATGGTGCCTCCCTAAAACAATTGGGGCACCACTAAAACTGTCCGGATTGACAAATTCCCTAACAATCAATTGCAAAAGACAGTGGACAGCTTGTTTGGAACAGCTGACATCCTGCAAACAAGATATCAAACATCCACATCCAACTTCTGTTCATCCCAGGTCCTTGGGAAGGTCTCGACAGGGGGATAAAAATGCCAAATCCAAACATGTAAACATCTATCATTTTTAATTTGGAAGAAAAAGCAAAACGAACATCGTGCTTAGTCCAAAACTGTAATTAATATGGAGCTAAATAATAAACTAATAATAAACTATTACAAATGTAAGCATAGTGTAAAATTATTAGTGCAAAGACTCGGAAAATATAGAACAATAAATAGTTTATATAGCTAGATTTAATAATTGGGAATATTTTTAGTTTCTTCAAACATCTGATTTTATTACCATTCTGTATATTACTTTCTGATTTTATTAGCGCTATTATAGATTTTGATTTTCTTTTTATCCCGCCTTTATTACTGTTATTAAATAAGGCAGCAAAAAAGGCGGATAGTTCTTCCTCCTCCTGTTTTCCCCATAACGACAATCCTGCCTGAAATGTCAACCATAAAATATTTATTTTTTTAAAAAATGAAGATTCTGTTCTAGAACAATAGAGTGGAATCCTGGAATCTTGCAGAGTCTGTTTCCTGGCCTGGCTTCCCTTAAAAGGGCTGGTGGTTCATTCGAGAGGGTGCAATCTTCAAATTATTAGAAATAATCGCAATTCATGGATGAAATGGCCCCTTCCCTGTCAGGAGGCCAGAAATATCCAGGCAGGAGGATAAAACAACCTCAGAATATGGGAAAGGATCTCTCCGGACCGATTCGATGCTCCCAAGCTAGGTTCACACAACCACTAAGTCTCCCCCCCACCCTTTAAACTAGGTTAACAGAAAGACAGGCGCCCTTTGCACAGAAGGCGCGTTGCCCATTGCCAGATCAAAACTCTGGTTTAAAGCGATGCCCACGAGACCCGGAACCTCCCACCCGCTACTCTCTTCAGCCACGCAGGTCCGAATGTGAGAAAACTCCGACGCGTGTTGTCCAAAAAAAAGGCGGGGGGGAGGGAGCGAGCAACACGCGTGCACTTTGCACTAATCTGTAATAAGGTTGGCACACCGCGGCGATCCTTTGCCGGTGCTGCTTCTGGCTGAACTCGTGGCCGCTTCGGCTGGAGGGAACAAGCCGTGGTTAACCTAGATCGTGGCTTACACTCAACAAGCCACGATTGCTTCCCCCCGTGGCTTGGCTTGGCGGGGATCTCCCGGGCATTCGCCCAAATTTACCCTGCCAGGGACCCCGAATCAACCTCACCTGTGTCGTGCAGGAAGAGCCCCACCGTCACGCCCAAGCTGAGCCCCGTCTGCGCCGCCCTCACCGCCCACCCACCGCCCGCGGCCGGCCGGGGCCGGGGCCGCATCCTCCCTCGCCGACCCGCGGCTACTAAGTTGCCCCAAGCGGAAGCGCCGAAGCTCCGCCCCCCCCCGCCGGCGGGAAGACGGGATTGGCCGGCCAGAACACAGGGGAAAGGCGTGGCCGGGGACGCCACGCGCTGATTGGCTGAGCCGGCTCGAACTGTTCCAAGTTCGCCTCGAACTCGCCCGTCGGAGGGGCGGGCAGTGGGAGCGATCGGGCTGGACTTCGACTCCTATCATCCCCCTCCCGCGGGCGAGGATTATGGGAGTGGGAGTCCTCCGCAGTGGGGAGAGAGGAGGAGCCCACCTCACAGGGTTGTTGTGGTGGGAAAAACAGGAGGAAACCAAGTAGGCTGTTCTGGCTTGAGCTACCAATGGTGTAATAAAGGTGGGATTAAATAATACTAATTCGCCATCCAGGGCCCACAAAGGTGTCATCGTAACCTCAGGAATTTCTAAAGGAACCTTCAAGGTCCAACCCCATAGAGAATGGTGAGCTCATTCCTTGCACAAAACACACCGGCCGTTTCAACACAGTGGCGATTTCCCCGTCTTTCCAGAAATGGGATGCATCTCCAAATGGTGTTTTGGAAATACACTGGAGCATTCGCACTCCCGTACCTAATTCAGAAATGAAATAAAAACCGCATCGTTGTAATTTCAAATTATTTTCTGCTAAGCCCAATTCCCTTGGCTTCAAGACAGAAACCCATGCTGATTTCCCGTTCCTTTAAAAAGCCCCAGGAGAAATTGGACTTTGTAAACAGCAAAAATTGTTTTCCTTGTTTATTGATGACATATAACAGCAAATGGAAGAATTAATAACTGTCCAGAATAAAAATCTTCGCATCACAGATACAGGACCAAGGAAAGGCTCTTCGAATGGAGATGATGAAGAAATTAGCTTAAATTTACAAAGGATTTTCAACAGCTCTCTTTCCACATTTCTGTTACAGCATCATCAGCAGAAGCTAAAAATTCAGATAGCAGTTCTTTTTATCACCTTCCCGGTCTCTGTTAAACAGCTCCAATCCTTTTCTCCTGAAAACAAGGAAACAACGCACCACTTCCTCCTGGACGATCAAACAAGCCCATACCTTAAAATCGGCACTTCTCCAGGCCAGGGAAAATTTGGCGGGTTTTTTCCCTTCTTCTAAAAATCTATCACAATCTGCCTTTCTTCTGGACTCAAAAGAAGATACACAAATAATTCCCCTTTTAGGTCATCACGAACCCAGATTTCCTTATTTATTAAATTTGTTTGCCGTCCATCTCGCCACGAGGCGACTCCGGGCAGCTGACAAACATTAAGCCAGGTTGTTCCTTCGACCAACTGACACCCCACTAATGTAGTGTTTCTCAACCTTGACCCATTGAAGGTGAGAGGACTTCAACTCCCAGAATTCTCAGCGATGGCTATGATGATTGGAATTCTGGGAGTTGGAGCCCACCCATCTCGGAAATTGCCGTCGCCGAAGTAATGGCTCAGATTCCCTTTATATCACACATAGAAGACGCCAAACAATAAGGCCATCAGGAATCAATTCCTTCTGCTTTACACTTGCGAGAAAGTTTAACCACAAACCTTGCTCTAGAAAGGAATATAATATCTATAGGTTGCGCGGCACCTATCTATCCTGAAGGATAAACAGATAAACTGATCAATTTGGGGGCACTGTTGCTGTAGATTGGGAGAACTGCATGGAAAAGAGGACTTAGGGGTGGATTTTCTATGCCACATGTTTTCTGAGCCCCAGATGTTGAGATGTTGACTCCAGCCAAAGGAAGACTCGGCTTATATCCATTCAAAATGTCATAAACTACCTCAGGAATCTGCAAATTCCTTCCAAGTTGGATCCCATGGCAGTTGCAGAGGAGAGCTGGAGTATGCAAATTTATTGGCCTTCCTTAAGATCATCTATGGTTTTTTGGCTTGCTGAAGACTGAGCCAACAATCCTCCACAGCATTGTCCCCCAGATATAAACATTTTGTTTTTATGATAATAAAAACAAAGGGTTGAAGGAAGGGGAACTCTCCCCAAGATTTAAGGCCAGGCTTAGAGGTACACCTGGGATTAAACCCAGGGCCTTCGCCCTCCCTCTGCCCAGCCACCTCTTTTGCTAGCTTATCTTTCCCAGGAGCTCAAATCAAAGGCAGGAGAGCAAACCGGAACTCCAAACGTTCACCGTTGCATCTAATTCTCCAGCACGTTGTCCAATTTCAGAAATCCTGCTTGATTATGTACCTTGGTGCATAATCAATCAAAGGTGTAAAATCAGGATGCCAGAATCGGAGCATCGGAGATCATCTACTCCAACTCCATTTCTGAATATATTTTTTAAAAAGAACGGCCGAACAGAAAAATGACAAGTTGGATGCACATTTGAACCCGAAACAGGCATTCTTCCATGAGTGTATGAGACAGGACTCTCTCTTTTAAGAAAGTGTCACCGATACACTTGCAGTAAAAGCCATTCATTTGGGGGTGTTAAGGAAGCCTGCATAATAGAAGAAGGGGCATTTTTACAGACTTAAACTTTTTAAAAAATATATATATAGATGTAAGCCTGGTTTCGCAACCAGTTAGCCAAACCTTCCTTGGTTTGTCAAACGATGAGGTCTAAAGGTGGCCTCGTCCATATTTTGGGGAGATTCTGCCATGCTGTATGCTCCCTGCTGGATCCAGGGGTGGGAAGGAGAGCCCAAATTCACAACTTTTAATCTACATTTGCAAGTTCTTCAACCCGCCTCAGTTTTCTCATCCAGCCACTCAGCTTCCAAAGAAACGAAGTTAAGAAGGAGATTCTTGTTTTTTTTCCTGGCTAGAGAGACCTGTGTTTTGGGGGGGCTCTGCCTTAGCAAAGCTTCCTGGTGAGTCAAGAGTTTCAATCTCACGTGTGTGTCATCCAGGTGGCGAGCGGCAGTCTCTGCCCTGTCTTCAGAACACAACAGCAGGTTTATTTCCACGCCTAACACTTTGCAGAGAAACTACGGACTAACTTTAATCCCTTCTCAATGCCCAAAGTTGCCTGGTCACAGACAACACCCCTAAAAGACTCTGAGAGACCTGGCAAGGATTAGCTCCCCCCACCCCCCGGCTTCTTAACCCCCCGCCCCCAGGACATCACCAACTAGCACCACGCACTGAAGCCTCCCACAGCATCTGAAGGAGTCGAGGAGTGGGGTAGATTTGACCTACCTCCGTATTAACCGGCCCAAATTTCTTCGCTGCTTTTTGCAAAGCTCAGCTGCAGGGATGGGGAAGGTGGAGAAAGAGAGTCCTTCTCGGGGGGAACAAGCAAGGTTTCCCCCTTAGTGTTCCGATCGGAGCGCTTCGAGGCCCGTTCAGGCGGGTTGAAAGAGCCCATCATCCCCAGCCTCACAGTCCTTCCCGGCCTGGGGATGAGCCGCTTCGCCGTGCCTAAATCTTTTGCGTCGCAAAAGGGGGGAAGTGACCCTCGCCCCGCGATTGGAAGGAAGGTCTCCGTGCTCTGCCGAAAAGCTCCACGGATACACGACAGCGTGGGTTTTCATTTCATACAGTTCATGATACACACACACACACACACACACGCACACACGCACAAACCAAAACACCAATCAGTACTTCTTTTTAAAACCCTTCCCCTTTCCTATCTCCATCTCCACCTTCGAAGGGAAGCAATTGTAGTGTGCAAAAAATAATAATGGTCCCTCGAAGTCAACTGCTCAGGTGTGGTTTCCAAAACAAAACAAAACAGAAAAAACCCCATTCCCCTCCCCTCCCACATTTCCTGAGCCTCCCTTGACTTCCTAACAATGTCCAGGTAGGCACACTTCCAACCCAACCCCAGCACGCACTACGGGCTTCTTCCGACCGCTAAGCTGGTGAGGAGAGACAGTCCAACCTATGTACAGGTGAATTGGAGAGGAGGCGGGACGCCACGGCTCGCCTCTATCTGGAGGTGTCCATGGTCTCGTCCGTAAAGTGGTTGCAGTGTTCGATGACTTTCCTGGTACGGGAGGAAGAGGGAGGGGGGAGAGAGTTTAAGACGCGGCCAAATGGCATCGCCGCTGCTGGGGAGTTTCGTATTTTAGGGCAGAGAGAGAGGGAGGGAGGGGAGATGGGGGCAGAACTGCAGGAGGGAGGAAAGGTTTGGGGTCCAAAGGGGGCCAGCTGCAATGTTTAATTCCGCCGGCTGTGATGGAGGAGGACTGACAACTGAGTTCCCCAGTGTTCTGTGGTCAGAAATGTCAGGAGGAGGAGGGAAAAGGAGGAGGAGGAGGAGGAGGAAGGGGAAGAGGGCTAAATAGGGAGGGGAGGGCAAGAGAGATCACCTTCCCATCTCCTGTGTTTCTGGCCGTGCTGACGCCATCTGAATCATGTCCTGCAGGAGCTGAAGGCCCCCTTCTTTGATCAACAGGGGGCAGTATTTGTCCGCTGGAGGTGGAGGGAGAAAGAGGAAGCGGTGAAGGGCTGGAGGTCAATTGGGGGTGGGGGCAAAACTGGGTCTGTATCTCCCCAGCTCCCTTTGGAAGAGGCCCCCTCCCTCAGCCAGATCCAGGTCGCCTCCACTGTGGCTACCTCTGGTCATGCGACAAACACCAGGCAGGCAAACCTTTGGAGAGACACCTCGGAGCCCCACTTCCCGCCCAGCCCACAGGGGCCCACGGGGAGGAGGGGGCTTACGGTAGACGGAGACCAGGTTGTAAAGGGCCCAGGTGGCCCAGTGTTGGCTGACGGGGGAAACCCACTGCGGGAGGAGCCTCAGAATTGGCTCAAAGGACCTGTGGGAACGGGCACAAAAGACAGGGGAAGGAAGGGAGGTGGGGAGGGAAGGAAGGAAGGAAAAGAGAGGGGAAGGAAGGAAAGGAAAGAAGGGAAGGAAGGGAGGGAGGAAGAAAAAGTAAGAGAGGAAGGGAGGGAGGGAGAGGGAAGAAAGAGAGAGAAAGAAAGGAAGGGAGGGAGGGAGGGGTGAAGGGAAGGAAGGAAGGAAGGAAAAGAAGGGAGGGAGGGAGGAAGGAAGGAAAAGTA